CCCCAAAACCCCAAAACCCCAAAACCCCTAAGCAAAATATCTTAATAGAAAGAAGATTTATAAAAATCTAAATTAATAATTTTAAGATAAGAAAAGATTTTAATAAATAAAGAGGATATTTATTTGTATAATTATCAATTTTAACACATCATTATTTTAAGAATTATGTCAGAGGATTTGCTAAGCAGAAATAAACTCTCCGGAGAAATTGTTTTGACAATGAACTCAGAAGATAATTAACTCGAACATCCCCTAGTAAAGCAGAATACATACGGTTAAAACAAGGAAATTCTACAGACATAAACTTCATTTGCAACAATTAGGGAGATTAATGAATCTCGGAAAAGATCTTTCCAAATTAGAGTCTACTTGATTACGTATTTGGGTTATGCTGTGATTCATTTTCAAAGAGAATTTTGGAGTCTCAGCAAAAAATATATCACAAAGGAGTCTAAAGAATTAACAAAAGATGTACTCAGTAGATTCGACACAGCTTAGCTCCTCACTTATGCTATCGTCATGTACATAGGTGGGATCCTAGGTGATTAGTATAATCAAAGGATTGTTCTTACAATTGCATATCTTGTTCTCAGTGTAGCCTATTTATTACAAGGTCTGGCTGGAATTCTAGATATATCTAATCAGGCATATTTCTACTTTGTTTCAATTTTAATCGGAGCATTTAATTCACTCTTACCTCCTACCTTCATTGGCATAATGGGAAATTGGTTCCCAAAGAAAAATAGAGGCTTGATTGTTGGATTTTGGGCTACATGTAATAATTTTGGAAACATCGTGGGCATCTAAATTGCTGCTGGACTTATGATACTATTTGATAACCGATGGTACTTTTTAATGGTAACTATCTCAATTGTAGTGTTAATTGCAGCACTGATTATATTCCTTTTCCTTATACCAGAGCCTGAAATGGCAGGCATTTAAATTGAAGAGTACACTTAAAAGGAAGCTATCATTACGTCATTGATAACTGATTAATCGATTAGAAATTCGATTACAACTGTGTCACCTTTGAAGCTTGAACAAGATATTAAAAAATCCCAAATCTATGGAAATCTATCTTAGAATAATGTCAAAGTTGGCAGAATAAATTTTTTCAAAGCTTGGTTACTTCCCAAAGTGTTTTTATACTCATTGTCATTTTTCTGCACAAAATTAGCAGTATACTCATTACTTCTTTGGCTACCATTATTCTTAAGTGAAAATTTAAATTATTAGGATTCTGAAATTGCCAACCTCTCAACTATTTTAGATCTTGGAGCAATAGTTGGAAGCATGACTCTAGGTCTGCTATCTGATCTAACATATGGAAAAAGATCTCCGATTGCTATGCTGGCAGTCATAATTTCAATAACAATATCTTATGTGTTGACTTATGAAGTATTAAACATGGCTACAGCTCTATTTTTTGTGCTTATGTTCTTCCTTGGTTTTTTTATTAGTGGCCTCAATAATGTAATAAATGCTGCATGCGCAGCTGATTTGGGGAAATAAGAGGCCTTGTAAGGAAATCAAAAGGCAATCTCGACAGTGACTGGAATTATTGATGGAAGTGGAACACTTGGGACTGCAGTTGGACAATTTATCATTGGATTTACTTAGAAATCTCTTGGTTGGTAAAATGGCTATTGGCTTGTGATTTCAATCGACATATCGCTAACTGTGATTCCCTTAGTGCTAATTTGCATCAAAGAATTCAACGAATTAAAACTAATAAAAGTTGGTGTTGAAAAGCTTAGAAAATCAAGCATGGAAAAGTCTTTAAAATGAGGATTTCGCTTGCTTATATATATTTAAACGAGAACGGAAGCTGTTTTTATATTAAAAATCCTTTAATTTATTATTTAAATTTATCAATAATTTGATAGATTCAACTTAATGGGGTTTTGGGGTTTTGGGG